GATAGACGCTGCTGAACGCTGGGAGGCGCTGGTGCACGCTGGCAGACGCAAGATTGATATCTATACTTTCCCAGTCGCTAACGCTGTCGGAAGACTAGTGGGCACTGCCGCAAAGTATGAACACTGCCTGAACTCCCTCCAACGTGCCTCGCATGAGATGATTCTCTAACAAATAAACACCATGGTGACTAGACCTCTCGTGAAGATCATTTAGAACAGCTCTTCAGAGTGATATGCCCCAATCCCGATCACAATCGTCACTTTCAACATCAGGAGCCGACGAGGTATCCGGAAACGACGAGGAAGTTGTAAGCTCGTCCTATGACAGCAGTGATCATTCCGATGACGATCAGGGTGAGATATTTCAAAAGTAAAGGCGAACAATATCTCTCCAATTTATCTGTACCATACACAGTTGTTGGAAATTTGAAGGTTTTGGCGCTGCTCGGACTAAGAGACTAGCACGTTCAATACTGAAACATAATCGCCACACTTATTCAGGCACAATGGTGGACTCATTTTGGAACTATCGCGAATCGTTGATTGACTGTACCCCAGAACAATTTGCATACCAGCACAACTTGATGCTGACAGAAACATCGAAGGTATAGCTTTTGGCATTATTCAACTATTATTACCGCGATATTCCAAAAACGGACCAGTTTTCAAGAATTTTTGTAAGGGGGCACATTCGGCTGAAAATTCGGTTGTAGAGGTAGTTCGACCTCCTGAACACGAAAATCACACTCGCTTGGCCTAAAGGGGTCTGGCGACTGCGCCACAAGACAACTGAAATACTTAAAAATAACTTGCCGACCTTGCAATGGAAAAGAAGGCGGGCAGATAAAGGAAATATTTGGTTCAAACTTTCAATGTCAATGTCAGCTCTTTTCATTCAATAAACTAATGAAAATACTATTTGACGAGAAGGAAGTTACGGTGTCGCACTGCTAATAGGCCTCAAATGGGCAAGGACTGTTGGGTGAACTAGACCTTCCCAGCCCCTCAATTTGGTTTGAGGCGCAATTTTCCCCACAAGAAAATGCTAGGAAGCGTATTTCTTTGATATATTTGAGCCAAATTCAACATGAGGAAGGCCTTTATGCTCAACAGTGGTTTGAATGGAATGCCACAATCTGAATGAAATTACTCACAGGTTAATACTCATAAATCAATAACACTGATTTCTGCCTAGAACGAAGAACCGATTGCCGTTCTCAGCGGAAAAGTGAAGTATTCAAGCAAGCTTTCTAATGCCAGCCTTTTCTCTGTTAATCTCGGTCAGTTTCCTTTCTATCGGATTTTAGTTAACCCAGATCATCGATATGGATGATTCACAAATTTTTCAGGAAAGATGAGATCGATGCGGTTGTTCTACTCAAATTCGGATTGCACTAGTGGTCAATTAGTTATCGCTAGTAAAGATTCTCACTACAAGGTAACCATTTTTGTGATTGCAGCCTCATTACAACCACAGATAGTGTTGCAAGGGTAGCGACTTCCGTGGAATTTGGATCACGACCCAATTGACGTAAAGGCAGACTTTGCGCCAGCAAAAAGTTCGTAGGTAGCGGGATTGGGAGGACAGAATTGCATGTGCTGGTTGACTTTCTTGTGAAGAAAAAAAAAGGAAAGAAAGCGGTTGAGAAGGCTTTGAATATGGCTCTACTTGCGCCACGCGAAATACAATCAAACGGTGTGGATATCGGGAGAGGGAGAGGCCAGAGAAAACGGTGGG